GAATCAGAAAATGATAATTTCACCGGTTCCTCATCAGATTCATAAGCCATAAATAGCATAAGTTCATCATCAGAGTCTCCTCTGGCTATATTTTCTTCTTCTGACTTTCTTTCTTTGTTTGACCAACAATCTTTGGCATAGTGACCAAAGTTCTTGCAACAGTAACACTGAACACTCTTCTTGTAAGACTTCTCCTTTCCCTTCTGGACATTCTTCTGCCTATCAGAGTTTGAAGCTCCTGACCTTTGACCATCATTAGTTTTCTTCCTGGCTTCTGACCAAGTCTGCTTCTGATACTTCTTACCAAAAGTTGCTTTCAGAGTCTGCTGCTCTACTTCTCTCTCAGAAGTTCTCTCAATCATACGCAACTTATGCGCCTCTAGACTACTTTGCAACTCTTCAACTCTCATGGTGCTCAGATCTTTGGAATGTTCAATTTCTACCACAATGTAATCAAATTGATAAGTTAAATATCTTAATATCTTCTCAATGATTACTTGTTCAGAAAGAGTTTCTCCACAAGCTTTCATCTCATTAGTGATCAGAATCACTCTAGAGATGTACTCAAAAACCTTCTTGTTGTCCTTCATGTTGAGATTCTCATATTTTTTTCTGAGAGACTGAAGCTTCACCTTCTTCACTGATGCGTCACCATCATAACATCTGACCAGTGTGTCCCACGCAACCTTTGCTGTTTCAGAGTTAGCAATCTTCTCAAACACGTTCGCATCCACACATTGATGGATGTAGAACAACGCATTATGATCTTTCTTCCTTAGCGCCTTCTACGTTAGCTTTTGTTCCTTTGTTGCGTCTGCTGCTAACGGAGCATAGCCATCAGTGATAATATCTAACACATCTTGAGAACCAAACAGCACACGCATATGGATCTTCCACGATTCCAGTTTTTTTCATCAAACTCTGGAAGCTTGGAATTTATATCTCCGTTTCCGTTCATCTTCAACCTTGTGCAATTCACTCAAAAATTCACTAAAAGTGTTCCCTAAATCCTACAAAATTAGAAAAACGATTCTTAATAATACCTCATTGTTCACTCGTGTTTCCCCGTGGATTTCGAACCAGAGCTTTGATACCAATTGTTGGTGCACAAAGGAGAGATGAAAGACAAAAGGAATATATTTAATGATGACTACAAAATAAGGAATAATGAATTACATTGACCTACCTACTACTAGGCTATTTATACACAAAATTAGGGTATAATAAAATACTAAAATACCCTCTAACAAGGATATAAAAGATATTCCTAGATATTCCTAAAATATAAATTATTTCCAACAAGGGTAAGATGGCTTAGTTTTGCGATTGTGCTTCTTGGCGATGTTCCTTTCTTTTTTACTTATTCAGTTCTTGTACCATGAATTATGTATTAGTACTTTTAGGTTTGTATCATT